GGTGTTTAAAATCTTCATCAAAATCATCTGCTTTATTTAGTCTTCCTCCAACACGGATAAGATCTTGATGGTCAATGAAAGGATCGAGCTTGTACAACGAGCTGTTTTTTCTTAACCTGGATTTCTTCGTCTTTGTAAGCGACCTTGTGTCTTGAAAGGTTTCTTGGTCGATATTTTTCAATGTGGAATATTCTTTCTCAAAGGCTGCTTTCTGTACCACTCTCAGAATACAACTTTCTGCCTTTTCAGTTTCTTTAACTGTGATCGGTCTCGGTTTCGTCGATGAATCTTGTGTGGTGAAATCTTGATCTTGGGTCAAGCGCAGTATTCTGGCAACAACTCTTTTGAGGCGGTTCCAGTCTGAGAATCGATTAAATCGATCGACGATTGTCGAGTTGATTTCCAAGACGTCCGTGGAATACACAATCGGTTTCTTTATTTCCGGATCTTGGTCATCATTTACCCTGTTCAAGTCAGCTGGTAATATTGGCCAGTCTTCCATGTGTTTCCATAAAAAGTCGGGACCATGGATCCAACGATGTTCACTATCCAAGTCATCTAAACCACGAGATGCGTCATCCGCCGGATTATCTTTTCCTGGGACGAATCTCCATTGATCTGGGTTGGTTTGACTCCTAATTGTCTCCACTCTATTTGCTACGTACGTCTGGTAGCGATTTTGTTCGTTTGTGATGTACTTGATAACTGTGGTGCTGTCTGTCCAGAAGAACATAGATTTCCCTTTTTCATGGTCTAGTTCTTGAGCCATCTGATTTCCTAGCTTGGAAGAAACAACTGCTGCTGTCAGTTCGAGCCTGGGAACTGTCACTGGCTTGATGGGAGCTAAACGAGCTTTACCAATGAGAAAGGCACAGTGGATTTTTCCTTGAAAGTTGACCTGACGGAGATAACTTACTTGACCGTAACCGATAGAACTTGCGTCAGAGAAATTATGGATTTGGCTATCGATGACCTCACCRAAATTGGCAGGTTTGAGACATCTGTTCATGACTAGTGCYTCCAGGTTTGGTAATTGGTTTCTCCATCTCTCCCATMTAGAGGCATGGTCRTCGGGAATACGTTCRTCCCAATCTACGTCTGTTTTACAAAGGTCTTGCAGAATTCGTTTACCAGGCAGCAAAACAGGAGCAGCAAGCCCCAGAGGGTCGTACACAGAACTGATGGTCGACAATACGCCTCGGCGAGTTAGCGGTTTATCCTTTAATGTTATCTTGAATCCAAATGKGTCATTCTCTATGTGCCATTGGACGCCAAGGGCACGTTCTACGGGTAGATCATCGAGACATAAATCGATTCCTTTGACTTCCTTCGAACGGTCTTCCTCAGGAACATACTGTAGGACKCGTCTACTGTTGCTGGTGATTTTAGTCAGACGAAAACCTCCCTTCTCGCAAGCGTTGATGGTACTTTGAATACGTTCTATGGCTTTCGTCTCGTTTTCTTCTGACCGAAGGCAATCGTCGACATAGAAATTTCGTCTTAACACCTCAGCGGTTTCCTGATCGCCTTGATTTTCAGCAATGTCAGCGGTCTTCAATACTGCAAAATTGGCGACACTGGGTGAAGAAACGGCACCAAATAAATGGACGTTCATTTGGTATTCTTCTGGATTCTGAGTTAAATCTCCATATGACCACCACAGGAACTTAAGGAAGTCTCGGGTGGAACTTTCCTTGCATAGTTGTTAGTAAGGACGTCATTCATAGTTTTAAGGTAGTCAGCATGCATCTTATGGTCTTTAGACAGTCGTCTCTTCAAGTACATAAGTCTAGACAATGCTTGTTCTTTGTTGTTTGGCATCAGCAAGTTACTTCGTCTGAAGGGAAGCGGCATGATAAAGTGGCCATCTTCTTTCCTCGCGCCATCTTCGAGTATCTGTACAAATCGCTTATCTTCTTGA